GTTGCTAATAAATCAGTCTTACAGAGTTAAGTTCCTTACTCAGGGTCAGATAATTGAGTAACACAGAACCCAAGTTTTCTGCCTCAGAGCTGGTTTCTGCTATATGTGTTGTATTATACCAGAGTAAAATCTCAAGATACAAGATTAGAGAATCTGCTGTGGACCAATGAAAGGCAAGGAATATGGATGAAAAACTCCTGAGATCTACAACTATTTCTAACTTAATAACAGAAAAAATTTAGTACTTACCAAAGTATATGGAGCATCTACTTATGTCTAGCTCAAAGACTACTGGAGTAGACAAAGAATGTAAATGATTTTTAATCAATGTGAAGAAAACTGTAAGAATGATCCCAAGAGCAAAGATCTCAGCAAATTCTGGAAACCAGTTCAGAAAGACTGCCCTTTGGGAGCAACAAGTTATGAAATTAGCAAGAGGAAGTTAGGCAGAGGACAGGTAAAGCTAAAGGATGTGAAAACACTGATGATGCCATGTTCAATTCCAACATTTCTCCTGTAAGAAAGGAGTTTTGCTATATTTTTCAGGTATAAATGTAAACAAATCGAAATTTTCACCACCCTCAAAAAGGCAGCCTAAAAAAAGATGCTGCATCATCACAGTTAATATGTATGTGCCATGCTCAGTCCTAAAAGTTTTTTATATATACTAATTCATTTAATCATCACAACAACTCTGTAAAATAGGCACTCATTACATTTCACTTTACAGGTAAGGAACTAACACAGTTTATCCAAGGTTACATACACAATCATTAGCTGAGCCAGGATTTGAATGGAAAGTCATGCTTTCCTTAGTTCTTAATCACTGTGTTACACTGCAGAAAAAGAGTGCCTTTTCCAAATCCAAGTGCAGGTCATGCTAAGTCTCACCTAATCCTGCGCACTTGATTTTTAATACGGGACCAAACAAAATGCAAACAATAAGTAAATATAAAGAACTGGCATAGCAAAACCCACTAACCAATTATTGTGAATTTTTCACAGTATATGAACATTTTCAGAAATTATACTTTGAACATAACCATTCTTGCAGCTTTTATACCTTTATCTAAAATACTAACTTATCAGGAAACACAAACAACACACTTAGGTTTATTTCTGAAAATGAGAACCCAGTTTTAGTTAAATGTTTCCACAGGGATTAACCAAGACGACTTTAAACAACCAGGATCTTGCACTAGAATCTGAATGTCAAGAAATGAACTCAGTCACCAGGCAACAATAGATTCCCAGTTTGTTTTACACAAAAACAATCTCTCTTTCCAAGTTCTTACACTACAAACAATTGTGATACTAAGGGTCTGAAAAAAGGTAAATAAGAAAAATGGAAAACATTTAAGCCCCTAAGACAAAGAACTATATTTAAAAAAAAAAAAAACCTAAATATAACTCTTTCTCCTGTACAAAGGTTACTCTTAAAACAATAAATATACATATATTTTAAATTAACTCTTACCTAGTCAAAATTATCCTGTCTTTAATTCTTATTCTGCCTGTTGAGAAGGGACAAAGGATTACTTCAAACAAGTCACCAATCATTCTTTAATTTGCACAACAGCTACCCTTGAGCTACCTGAATTTTGCTCATACTCCAACAGATCAGTGGCTCTGAGAATTTAAAAACAAAAAGACTCCGAAGACTATTCTCTGAAATTTAGTTTCTGAGACTAAAAGTTAGTACAGATTCCTAAAAACCAAGGAATGTGGCACAAATTTTAAAAGTTAAAGTAAGAAAAATCCTCACTATTCAAAACAGGAATAACAGTCTTCAATGAATTAAGAACAAAGAATAAGTTATGGTTTCTTAATCACAGAACCACAACAATTTTCTACACCATCGAAAAACTTGTCATAAAACACTGATGTCATATACTCATGATGAGACATGAGCATTAACTTGCTAAAAGCCAGAAAAAAGTACACACCAAGTATTTTGGAGTTTAATCAAAATTTATGATTTGACTTCTCCTTTCATGCAGATCTGGAAACAATCTTATCAATATATCCAATGAACTCTGTATTTAGAAGCAGCATGGGCAGAAAAGTGCTTAAAGTAAACGAATCATTCTTGAATCGCAGTGTATAATTATGTTTTATTAAAGCAACTAAGCTATGTTTCTTTAAAACAAAAAACAAACCCTCCCTAAAATAGGCAATGTAAATTCTGTAAAGTCCAGCAGTAACAACATTTTCTGATCAAGCCAAAAGAGAAGTAAAATTAAGGCACATCACCAGCCTAGTAAAACCAGGTAAGGAAATATGCATCTTAATAAATCTCTGTTATCACTTAAGATCCTGTAGTATCAAAGTACTACCCACATATTAAAAGTCAGTATTTGTTTTAACAGATAACTATGCCTATTGTGACTCTAAAAATAGGCCTGATGGAAACAAATTTGACTTGCATACCACACTCACCCATCCTTCATCCCCAAAAGCCTATTTATTTCTCCATTTGAAGTGATAAAATCACTACCCATATCGCAAGTCTGGAATCTGCCAGGGTTACAGGATCAGATTTCTCCAAAAATCTGACAGTAACTTCCACATCAAAACAGGACTGCTTGATTTGAGATTTACTAATTAACCATCTACTAGACTACAAATACTTCAACGTTTCTCAAATTATTAGATCCTAACCAGTTAATTTCATTCCTTATCAACCAAAGCAAGCCATTTACAAGTAACTCTATAACTTCAGGTTCTTCATTTATCAAATAAGAAGCTGGGCAGAACAGCCTAAGATTTCTTCCAGTTTTATAAATACATGATATTTTTAAGTCAACAACTTAACACAATATTTCTCCAGTCTTCCTACAGAAAAATTTGTAGTAAGTATACATTTAGTGGAAAAAGTTTTTTTTTTCCCCCAATGATTTAGTAATCCTTTGGCTTGTCCTTTAATTTAGATCCAAAGACAATAACTCAAACACTAACCTACTGAGTAGGTTGTTAGGCAAGTGTTTTGGCCAAAACATCATAAATGCTGTTCAACTTATTGCTATAGAAGATCTTGGGACTAAGATAATCACATTTTAAAAACAAAAATGAAAAACTGTAGAAGTAGGATCATATAAGGAAGGTTCCAAAGCAGGGTACCACTCAATGCATTTTCATTTGGTTCTCCAGCCAAATTCCAAACTAGCATAAAAATAATATGGCAATGGTACACATAGAAGATATTCTTTTGTTTAACCATGACCATGCCTAAAGAACAAAAATGATAAATTCATGAGTTCCAGGAAAAAAATGAGAAGCTTAGACAAAATTATCATGACATTAGACAAATTGAGGTTTTTTCCCCTACTGTATTATTAGTTTCAAGATAATAAACTATCTGAAGATTCCAGGTGACAAAAAAAAATACACATTCTGAGAAGTCTTAAAAGTTAAAAATTGAAACTAACAAAATTAATCCATAAAGTGCTCAACACTTACTTGGATCTAGTCTTGAGAGTAAGGTAACTAATTGAGGGGAAAAAATTATTAAAAAGCACCTATTCAAATATCAAACTATTAAAAAATACAATCCAGGATCAGCAGCAATAAGCACCTTAGGTATTAAAAAAGTAACAGGTGTTTGTTTGCTTGTAACTAAAACTCTGCCTGTAAACCAAAACAAATCAGACCTAAATTTCTGAGAAAGAATGACCAAGGAATAAAGTTATAATTTGACAATTAAAAAAAAGTCTACCACGTTCCCAACCCTAAAACACTACAAAATTGACTAGTTTTTATTTCACAATGCCTTTAGAAGTTCTGTATCACTAACTATAAAACCTAAGAAATTATACTCCTAAAAAACTTACCAGTTTTTTAAGTTTACTTCCTTCCACATGTTAATTTTCCTTCACACTTCATATGACCTTGGTCATTTGGAAGGTGACATTTAAAAGGTTAAATGTTAACATATTGGTTCACGGATAATAGATAAATTCCTAGATCACTCAGGTACTTTCACATCCTATTTCAGCTTGGTTCATTTCCTTTGCCAGAAGAATATGGATACTGGCATTTTTCACATAGAATATCAGCGGTTTTTTCATTCAGTTCAATTCCGCTTCTTCCAATAACCTATGTGAACACACATAGGTGAGGACAACTTCAGTCAAGCTGCTACAGATCAAGCAACAAGTAGCCCAAACCCCCTTATATCCTTGTCAACCAGGATGACACACCATTATTTACACCATGAAAATCTCCTAGAGGTTAAAATTGAAGCCTTTGTCACTCCTTTGTACCCTTAAGTTTAGCTTAAAAATCTTTCACAAGATTAAAACAACGATAATGACATTACAACTCTCAAAGCACACATACAATTTTACATAAGCTCCTGTATTACACACAGTACAGCCGAGTGGGCTAAAGACACACTAGTTTTAGTAACAACGTCAGCTCCCGGTTATCAAAAACTTGCTTCAACATCATTAGGTGGAACGATATCAAACACCCACTGTAACTCTCTAGTCTCAAACTATTCAGGGAAGGAAGCCTTTTTTAGTTTATATATGCCGGTGCGACCACCAACTAAGACACGTCGAAAAGGTCATTCATGAACAAGGTCGTTCTTAATTTAAAAAGACAGCCTGTTCTCAGGAATGGAAACACGCATCTAACACACCAGCAGCTCATCGCTGCAGATCTCTAATGAACACAAGGCAAGAGGACTGTACTTTCCGAACTCAAAAACTTCCCCGCTCTTTTCGTTTCCTGCCAGACGCTAAAACAATGACGAGGAGGCAATGCGCTGGTATCCGGATGACTTTCACCACTCCTTCCCTAGAAGCGAATCTCTAGCTACAAATACTAACGCCTCACCTGTCCCAACACCCCAAATCCTGGTGACTCTTTCGAAAGTTGGCCTCCCCCCACTCGCAGGGAACAGTTAAGAGCAAGACACGTAAAGGGAGCATTCGGCCCAGTGGCCGATCCAAATGAGGGACCCACAGCACTGTAAGAGAAAGAAGGTGGGGGCATACCTGCAGCTCACACCAGGCGACCTCCACGGTCGTCTCTGTGTCCAGACCCTTGTAGACCGTCTTAAAGGAGCCCCTGCCGATCTCGATGTCAAACTTGAGAAAGCGGCCGTCGTTGGACATGCCCACGGCCTTGGTCTCCAGCTCCTCGATGTCATCCTGCTGCTGGCTCCGTTCCTCCTGGGGCTCCTTGGCGCTGCCGCCGCCGCTGCCACTTCTAGACGACGTAGGCTCCTCTCGGCTCCCCACGGGGCCGGGCTGGACAGCCTGGCGGTCTCTGCCCGCGCTACCCGGGGCCGAAGAGATGGCCGGGCCCGCGGCGACCGGCTCTTCGCGGGCGGCGGCGGCGGCGGGCGGCTGCTGGGCCACCTGGGCGGCGGCAGCGGGGGTCAGGGTCTCCTCGCGCGGGGGCTCCGGGGGGCTCCGCTGCGGGACCACGGCAGCCGCGCCGGGCTGGGGCAGCGGCAGAGGGAGGCCGGGCAGCTCCAGCGCCGTAGCGTTGGAGTCGCAGATGACGCTGCGGCGGAAGAAACGGTGCTCCGTGGTGGTGGTCGCGGCCGCCCCTCGGCTGTCCTTGTCCATGGTATGGCGGCGACGCCGGTACTCCTCCGTCCGTCCGGCTGCGGCGTCGGCCGCCGCGGCGCCCAGTTTCTCCCCCACCGAGGAGTCCGAGCTGGAGCCATTCTTGGGGGCAGGCGCCGGCGGCGAGAGGAACAGCGAGCCCGGCGCGCTGCTCTGCTGGTCGGCGGCGCCGCCAGACATGGTGGGAGCGGGAGCGAGGCGGGCGGCTCGAGTTCGCGGAAGAAGGGGGCCGGCCCGGGGCGGCGGGGCGACGGCCCCTCACTCGGCACTGACTCGGCGGCCCGAGCGGGAGGCGGGCCCGCGGGCCCGGCTGCGGCGGCCGCTGCGGCTCTCGAGGCGCGCTTGTCGGGGGCGGCGGCGGGGCGGAGGCACGGGGGCTGGCGCCTCACGGCCCGCACCCATCGTGCGGCAAGCGGCGGACGGGCGGGCTGGAGCGCCGAGGGCGCGCGGTCATGGGGGCGGCGCGGCGGCCCGCACCCAGTCAAGGAGGCGGCGGCTGGCTCTCCACCGCCGCGGCCCGGGGCGGGTTGGACCCCCGAGAGGCGGCCGCTTGGCGCGGAGGCGGACGAGGCCGCGCTGGGGCTCGCGGCCAGGCGGGCGGCCGCTCCTCCTCTCCGCCCTGCTGGACGGCCTCAGAGGCCGCCCATTGCCCGACGCGAGGGGCCGAAGCGCGACACGGAGGAGCGGCCCCCGGCCCCGGGCCTCACCGCCCGCCCCGGGCCGGGCGGACCCCTTCCTCTCCGGGCCGGGGCCGGGGGCTAACGGAGGGAGAGCCGGTAGGGGAGGGCCCGAGCCCGGTGCTCCTCCGGGCCGAGGAGGGCCGGGAGAAGTAAGGCCAGTCACCCGGTCGGACGCCTTCTGTCACGAAGATGAGTGCAGACAGGCCGCGGAAGAAGAGCCGCGTCCGCCGGCGAAACTCCGCGCTAAATGGCGCCGGGAATCTGAAGCCTCCACACAGCCCGCTCGTGCCCCGCCCCCCGCCGCCCGGGGCGCCCCACCCCCACTCCGCTCTCGGGGCTCTCGCGCAGGCTGTCTCTCCTCGAGACCCTATGGGACTTGTAGTTGACACCTTGAGTAATGAAAGGGACAGAGCAGGAAGGCGCCTACGACTCCCGTGATGCCCTGCGGTGGCTTAGCCTGAGGCCCCACGGGAGTTGTAGTTCCTTTTCAAACCGCCTCTTCTGGAAGGCGGATGGGAGCGTCACCGCGGGTCGCTAAGCCTCATCCTTTAGTGGGCGCTAGCTAGGAAAAGCATGACTTAGGCATTAATTGTGGAAGAAGGGAAGAGAAAACAGGAGAAGGACTCAGAAAGAGGGGAGAGGCTCCCACCATGCTGTGCTGAGGCGAGAGCGAGCTCTTGGGACTGCTATGGATGGAAAACGAGCTGCTGTTCCTATTTAAGTACGGTGTCGCGACCGGAGCGTGGACGGAGAGCCGGGTGTAGCCGGACCCCTTCGCTCGGGCCACAGACTTTGTGCATAACATTGATTGGCTGGGGGAGGGGGGAAGCTTCCTTCCATGGCACTTAAGGCCGCATCCTGGGCTCGAAGCCCAGGACAGATCCTCTGACTCGCAGAGACAGGCCGCCCCACTGCAGTCAAGGGTCACAGCGAACTCCGCCCGGAAAAAGCGCACAGCGCTCGGGAGGGGGTGGCTTCGAGAAGAAACGAGGTCTACGTATCTTTGCGGCTTTTACCACAAACTTGAGGGAGCTGAGTTGACTTGGATGAAACTTAATGTGCTCCTGTCTCTCTTGGTGCTTAGTAAAAACAGCCTCCCTCTTCCTCTGGAGGTGCCTGAGTGTGCCCGTGTGATCGACACCCCGGCTTTGGACGTGCGGCTTTCTCGAAAGCATCCTCGGGCTCCCTGGACCCCTTGCTCTGCGCAGCCGCCACTCAAGATGGTGCAGGTGATGAGCACCAGGGGGCACCCGACGGAGCAGGAAGCCGGACCCAGACGGCGGTTGAAAGTCTTAAGCCCAACGGTAGGAGCGGGAAGCGCTGAAACGTGCGCAACCGCTCCGAGCGCGCGTGCGCTCCGCCCGGGCTCCAGCTCCGGCCCCGAGCCCACCGCGGACCCGCTCCGGAGCGCACGGGCCGCGCGGCCGCATTGGAAAAGCAGCGGTTGGAAGCACCCGGACGGAAGATTCGTTAGCGCTTCGTTTCCTAGCAAATGCCCAAAGCTAGCTGCATGAGCTCCACTTAAGAGAGAGAAGTCTGGCTCTACAATCCAGAGCGATTTATCTGATACGTAGAACAGTTACACTATTTTTTAAATGTTTTTAATCAAAAGCTACCCTGTAGGTATACAAAAAAGTTTAAAACCAGGGCTTGTTAGGTTTCATGAAGCTAGCAGATTATCAGCATTTTAAAACACAGTTCAGTAGGGGCCACTGAAGTCTTAGTGTTCGAATTCCATTGTTTTAGAGACTATCCCCTTCTCTCGTTTGCTGTGGTAATGAATGGTAAATATCATTACGGTGTATTAAGTGGTTTGTCTTCATTTGTAAACTTGGTGCAAAGGGGAGAAACGCCTCTTGCATGGGACTTCTTGAGGCAGCACCTTAGAACTTGACGCAATTGTTGCTTTTTACTAGGGAAAATCGGTGAGTTAAAGGGAGATCAGTAACTCACAATGTTCGTGTTTTGGCACCATAAAAAATGAGGATGTTTCTATGTGAACGGCCATTGAAAGCCTTTGTTACTACCTGGTCGTACTTACTGGACCATGAAGCTCTGGCCACACTGCATTGAGCACAAGCCCTATGACAACCACCAGGCCCTATCGACAGTCAGGAACAGCTAAATTCATTGTAAATAATTTAACTGTTAACTCAAAACCCATGTGACGGCTTTTCCAACTTGTGTAATGGTAGCTTCACCGGGAAAACAGGTACAGTGTTAGGTTTGAAGATTAAACTGTTTACGTGAATATTTTACTACCACACTTGTTTGTTGAGCTCCCTTTTTAACACCTACCCACTTTCAGTGGTATTTGCTATGAGTCATTACTATTATATCCCAAATCGTTCTTTTCCTTTCTCTGTAACGTCAAGTGTCCAGTAAAGAACCAACCTCTGTGTAATCCATATATAAAAAGCATCAAGAGGTAGCAGAAAGAACCCAGTGGATGCTCTAAGCAGAGACTGGACTGGCAGGTGGGTCCATAAGAATACAAATATTTTATTTTCTCTCACCATGTTCTTTACTCATTTAGTCCCTGTTCATTTTCTCACCCTGATTCATGTTTCTTTCTAGTTCCCATCCATTCCCATTTGATGTTTATGTGGTCCCTGCCATTGGTAACTGGACAGCAATGAAAACCACCTATGATTCAGACAGTGGCTTAACACACTTATTTCATGTTTATCTGGCATATTCATAGGGTAGCATCTTGAAGTGTAGAGGAACAAAAAAATACCATCTTAAGAGAATTGTGCTTTTTTGTCTCTCTCTCTCCCCGTTTTTCATGCTCCCTTGTCTTGCCTATGGTAATTCTTATTTCACCTCTTTGTCACTTGCAACCCAAGGAAGAAGGGAGAATCAGGCAGTTAAACAATGAAGAACAGATTTTGAAACCTTTTTTTATTATAAAGGAAATAAAGGGGGGTGGGACTTGCCCTATATCAGAGCATATTGGAAAACCATAAGATTAAATCTGCTTATTGTGATAAGCACAGATAATGGAGAGAATACAGAAACTGGGTGCATGGGAGGTCCATAAATGAGGAAGATGGCAATTCAGGTCAGTGGAAAACGTTAATAAACAGTGTTTGAACAATTAGTTACTTCTTTGAAAAAGAAATTAGATGTTTACCTCACACCATTTACAAATTGATATCCACACAGGGAGCTAATTTTTTTTAAAGAACTCTGAATTTTTAAAACATAGGGAAACATGGGATAGGAAAGGACTTCAAAGAACAAGCCAAGAACCATAAAGAAAAACATTTGACTATGTTAGAATTGACAGTGCTGATCGATAAAGCACAAGGATGAGCTGGCAGAAAAACTTGGAACCTGTATACCAGAAGCCTAATAGCCAAAATACATAAATAACACCTTAAATATAAAGAAAAAGATAGCTGTATAGAAAAGGGGGAGAAATTAACTGAGGCAGGAAGAAATGAATATGACCAAAAAACCCACAAATCCAGTAACTTAGGGAAGTGCAAGTTAAAATAAGATATATATTTTTCCCTCAAAAAAATTAGCAAAATTTTTACGGATTTATAATATCAAGGTTTGACAGAGGTGTGGAGAAACTCATGCACTACTAATGATAACATAAGTTAGTACGACTATTTTTGAGGGCCGTTTGTTAGTGCCTATTAAAATGTGCAGTGTGCATAGCCATTGACGAAGCCAGTAGTCTTCCTTCTTGGTACCCACCTTAAAGAAATGCTTGCACATATGCACTAAAAATAACTCCAAGAAGGTCCACTACAGCTTTGTCTATAACCAGGAAGTGAAACAATCTGCATGTATGTTGACAAGAAAAGTATGGTATAAATTTTGACACCATACAGCCACAGAAGAGCACAAAGTAAATAGATATGTAGTCACATAAAAATAATAAGTAAAAAACTCAAGTTTCAGAATTATTATTAGATCATATATATTTTAAAATTATGTTTCTGTATGTATTAAAGTCTGGGCAATACCCAAAGAGAAAAGATTCAGCTAACTAATTGCAGGACCACAAGAGAGTCCATCATATTAAATCCTACAGAAATTAAAGGATAATTGGAGAACATGCTGAACTACTTCATGTTGATATATTGACAAATAAGATGAACAAGTATGTTGAAGCACAAACTATCAAAGTTCACTTAAGGAAATGAAAACTTAGTGGCCCTATATCAAAGAAACTGAATTTATAGTTAATCTTCTCACAAAGAAAACTCCAGACCTGATGACTTAATTGGTGAATTATACCAAGCACATAAGGAAATATAGCCATATAATATAAATTCTACACAAACTTTTCCAAAACAGAAGCGTAGAAGCAATTCCCAACTCATACTATAAGGCTAGCATTATTTAGTCAGCAAAACTAGACAAAAATATTACGCAAAAAGAAAACTACAGTTCAATACCTACCATGAACAAAATTTTAGTAAATAAAATCTAGAGATATTTTTTTAAAGGATAATACATCATGTCCAAGTTGGGTTTATC